ATCTCTTATTATAGTTTTGGCTTAATATGTAATTTATCTGGTATAAGGATTGCCACCTCGGCTTTCTTTTGATGTCCATTAGCATGGCAAATGGTTTTCCACCTCCTCACTTTAAATCTGGAGTTATCTTTGGATATAAAATGAGTTTCTCGTAGACAGCATATCGATGGGTCTTGTTTTTTTATACATTCTGATACCCTGATTGGGGTATTTAGCTCATTTATAATTTTTGGTTGTTCTGGAAGCTTTTTAATCTCTCCTTTTTTCATCGACAGCCCAGTTGGATTAAGTATTTTGGCTGTATATTTTTCTCATTTAGTGCTCTGAATATACCATTCCAGTTCTTTCTCGCCTGCCAGGTTTCTGTGGATAAGTCCGCTGCCAATCTCATATTTTTGCCATTCTATGTTACAGACTTCTTGTCCTGGGCTGCTTTCAGGATTTTCTCTTTGTTGCTAAGACTTATAAATTTTACTATTACATGACGTGGTGTGGACCTATTCTTATTGATTTTGAGAGGGGTTCTCTGCATCTCCTGGATTTTGATGCTTGTTCCCTTTGTCATATTAGGGAAATTCTCTACAATAATGCCCTCTAATATACCTTCTGCTCGCCTCTCTCTTTCTTCTTCTTCTGGAATCCCAATTATTCTAATGTTGTTTCATCTTATGGTATCACTTATCTCTCAAATTCTCCCCTCATGGTCCAGGAGTTGTTTGTCTCTCTTTTGCTCAGCTTCTTTATTCTCTGTCATTTGGTCTTCTATATCACTAATTCTTTCTTCTGCCTCATTTATTCTAGCAGTAAGAGCCTCCATTTTTAATTTCACCTCATTAATAGCTTTTTTGATTTCAACTTGGTTGAATTTTAGTTCTTTAATTTCTCCAGAAAGAGCTTTTATTTCTCCAGACAGGGTTTCTCTAATATCTTCCATGCCTTTTTTGAGCCAGGCTAGAACCTTGAGAATCGTCATTCTGAACTCTAGATCTGACATATTACCAATGTCTATATTGATTAGGTCCCTAGCCCTTGGTACTGTGTCTTGTTCTTTTTTTGGTGGTGAGTTTTTCAGCCTTGTCATTTTGTCCAGATAAGAATATATGAAGGAGCAAATAAAATACTAAAAGAGTGGCAAAGACCCCAGGAAAATGTGCTTTAACCAAATCAGAAGAGACCCCAAATCATAGGGGGGACAATAGGGGTAAAAAGAAGTTCAGAAAAAAAAATAAAAAAAAAAAAGAAAACAAATAAAGAAAAAATATAAAAATGTAAATATATATATATATATACACATATATATATATGTGTATATATATATATATATATATATATATATTAGACTGGTGACTAGAACAGTGTCACCCACTTAATTTTGGGAGTATTTTGGTCTTTTAGAAAGCTACCTCAAAACATTTTGAAGAATGAAAAACATATATAAGGGTAAACACAATGGAGGGATGGAATATGACTATAAAAATGAAAAAAAATTTTAAATTTCTAAAAAAGGAGTTGATAAGGTAAGTTGGTTGGGAGAATAAAGAAAAAGAAAGTGGAGAGAATTTGCTCGGGCTGGAGACTAGAACAAGCCCAGTGCTAGATTTAGGGTGTACTTTGATCTATTAGAAGAATTTGCACCCCAAATTTTTTAGAAGAAAAAACCCTATGTATATACAAAAAATAAAGTTAGATACAATGAAGGATAAAATATGAGTATAATAATGAAATTTCAAAAAAGATTATTTTTTTAATGAAAGGTATAGTTAAGATTGTTAAGATAAACTAGTTTAAAAATGTTAAAAGAGGAAAGTGTAAAATTAAAAAGTTAAAAAATTAGCAGAAGAACAAAACATAAAATAAGATAAATTAATTAACTTTTCAAGACTAAAGAATCATAGGGAGAAAGCCATGAATTCCATGCTTTGCTTTCTCCTCCTCTGGAATTCCACTGTTCTCCTTGGTAAGTGAACTTGGTCTTGGCTGGATTTCTTATTGATCTTCTGGGGGAGGGGTCTGTTGTGGTGATTCTCAAGTGTCTTTGCCCAAGGCAGAATTGCACCGCCCTTACCAGGGGCCAGTCTAAGTATTCCCCTCGGGTTCGCTTTCAGGAGCTTTTGTTCCCTGAATGCTTTCAGTAGAGTTCTGGAGGACAGGAATTTAAATGGCAGCCTCCCAATCTCTGGCCTGGAGGAGCCAAGAGCTCGGGGCCCCACTCCTCAGTGCACCCTCAGAGAAAAGTGCCCAATCACTCCCGTCTCACTGGCCTCCAGCTGTGCTCTGAAATCACCCAGCCTGTGACCAAGAGTCTCTGTCTCTGGCACACAGCTCCACCTGGAGTCTCTGAACTCCACAGATCCCTGAGCTCTTCCAGGGTGGTCTCTCCGGATCTTGTGGGGACCCCACTCACAGAGCAGTGGCCTGTGCCACGGATTATGGTTCAAGGTAACCCTGAGTTGAGAGCTCACTCCTCGGCTCTGTCTCTGTAGCCGGCTTCCCCGCTCTAATACCTGTGAGCTCTGTGACACTCAGACACCCCCGATCCTTCTGTGACCCCACAGGACCTGAGGCCACGCTGTCCCTGCATGGGCTTCACCCCGGTTTAGCCTCTGGAGCGATGTCCCTCAGTGGAGCAGACTTTTAAAAGTCCGATTTTGCGCTCTGTTGCTCCCCCACTTGCCGGTAGCCGGCCCCTCCCCCCATGGTCTATCTTCCTGTCGCTTTGGATTCACTTCTCCGCCGGTCCTACCTTTCAGAAAGTGGTCAATTTTCTGTTTCTAGAATTGCTGCTCTTCTTCTCTTTGATCTCCTGTTGGATTTGTAGGTCTTTGGAATGGTTTGATAAGCTATCTAGCTGATCTCCTGCTACCTGATGTCATCTCAGCCTGCTACTCCTCCACCATCTTGACTTCTTCTCCAGTTGAGTCTCTTATTGTTTGTCTCCCTCTGTTTTTATCTGATTTTATTTTTGTTTCCCTTCCCCTATGTTCCTCTGTTTTGTTTTTTATTTATTATTTATTATTATTATTATTGTTTAAAGATTTTATTTATTTATTTGACAGAGATCACAAGTAGGCAGAGAGGCAGGCAGAGAGAGTGAGAGGGAAGCAGGATTCCTGCTGAGCAGAGAGCCCGATGAGGGACTCGATCCCAGGACCCTGAGATCATGACCTGAGCCAAAGGCAGTGGCTTAAACTACTGAGCCACCCAGGCGCCCTGTTTTGTTTTTTAAATTCAACATATGAATGAAATCATATGGTATTTTTCTATCTCTGACTGACTTATTTTGCTTAGCTTAGTTCTCTCTAGATTCATCCATGACTTTGCAAGTGGCAAGATTTCATTCTTTTTGGTGGCTGAGTAATATTCTATTGTATATATACACCACACCTCTTCTTTATTGATTTATCTATCAATGGACATCTGGGCTCTTTCCATATTTTGGCCATTGTGGACATTGGTGCTATTGCACTACTATGTATCTATCCAAAGGATACCCACATAGTGATTTAAAAGGACATATACACTCAATGTTTATAGCAGCAATGTCTAGTGATGCTTTGATAATTAGTGTTTATTCAGAGAATGAATGGTGATGGATAGATTTGTATGACTTGATTACTATTTAGGGTAATTATAATGTACATTTATAGTATAACATTTGTTATCTTGAACACTCATTGATAAATTTCACTTTATTTTGAATTGCAAAAGTGAAGTTGGAAGAAAATGCTATGTTTATGGCAGCAGTGTTGACAATAGCCAAAGTATGGAAAGAACCTAGATGTCTATTGACAATGAATCAATAAAGAAGATGTGAGGTAGATATATCTATCTATCTATCTATCTATCTATCTATCATCTATCTATATATCTCACACACACACACATCTATATATATCTATATGATGGAATATTACTCAACCACGTAAAAGAATGAAATCTTACCATTTGCAATGATGTGGATGAAACTACAGGGACTTATACTAAGCAAGATAAGTCAGAGAAAGACAAATACCATATGATTTCACTCATATGTTGAATTTAAGAAACAAAACAGAGGAACATAGGGGAGGGGAAAGAAAAAACAAAATCAGATAAAAACAGAGAGGGAGGCAAACCATAAGAGACTCTTAAATGTGGGGAAAAAAAAACAAACAACTGAGGGTTGTGGGAAGGGAGATGGATGAGGGAATGGGATAATTGGGCAGTGGGCATTATGGAAGGTATTTGAAGTAATCAACACTGGGTGTTATATGCAACTGATCAATCACTGAATTGTACCTCCAAAACTAATGATACATTATATGTTAATTAATTGAATTTAAATTAAAAAAAAAAAAAAGGAAAGAAATGTGTATCTGATCCCATGGCAGGGAGCTTTGCTTGTTTGTGAAGATGAAAAAGGAGAGAAACTATACTTGTTGGAAAGTTTATTGACAATTTTTATGCAAGGAGGTCATGACAATAAATTCAAAAGTAATCGTATGACATTCCAGTTGTGGCAAAAAAGATGCAAATATTCTGACTCATCAGCTACTATAACATTCTTTGCTCAGGACATGGAATGTGTTATAATATTATCAGGAATATTTTGGCTCCAAAACCATGTTTCTTAGCTCCTTGGATAGGTTTGTCAATGCCAATTAAAATAAAATATGGGAAGTCCAAAAGTCTTAGACATTTAAAAAAAAAAAATGCTTACTTTATCCCAAAGCAGACAAATCACTTTGTCATATAGTTATGAATAGAGTTCCAAGAGCTATTTATTTCTTTGATTCATTGTTTTCTATCCAAAGAGCTTAGTGATCATGGAGCCTTCCAAAAAACCCTGCACCAAACAAGAGGAATAGAGTACGTGCTACTGTTAAATAAAAGAACAGATATATGCTCCCACCAACAAAAGAAAGGATCATGGTAAATATCTTAATTCCATGTTATATTCTCATTTCTTCTTGGGTTATCTCCTATCTTGAGTTAGTTTGTTTTCTGTTGGCTTCAAATGATTATTCAAAGTAATAACACCTTTGTTCTTGGACATATTCATAGAGTGGAGTGTTGCTATCTAAGTAAAAGGAACCTGATTCTGTTCTCTCCCTTTTATGGCAACCTTTGGCATCCATGTTTCCTGCCTGCTTATCATCCATATCCTGACAATATATTCTGATGCTTCCTAACAAATTTGATTCAGGCCCTTGCTTTTGCTTCCCCCCCCTCCACATGATTGTACTGCCTGATGAATATCTATACCCATATTCTTCAGTTCCTGTAGGGTCTTGGCTATCATGAGAGTGACTAGAAATGAATCCTTGACTTTTGCTTCTGCTGTCAACTGACTGCCTATAGCTGTCACTTGATTGTCCAAGGTTATATACATTTCTTTCATTGGTGCTGAATCCAGATTGACCTTGGATGTCTCCTGGTTGTCTCGTAATTGATCCCTGTCTTCCTAAACTTGTGCTAGATCTTACCTGCTCATTAGAAGATATATCTCCCACATTCTCCTGGCTGGATCCAAGTATACCTACATTGTTGAATTCTGACTGTCCATGCCTAGACTCTGATGGTTCATGAATCTGTTCCCCCCAATCTTCTGAATGCTCTTTATTATCACTATGGGATCCATGCCCTAGAGTTGAACTAGATTCTGAATAGCTGTGAGCTGATATGGACTGTCCATGGATGGGTACAGAATGGCTGCTTGGCTGTCTATGCATCCCAGATTGAAAATGGGTGTCACTTGGTGGTTCATGATTTACTGCTGAATACCCATGAATATATCCCTGCCTTCTACTTACATTGGTTTCAGACTGATTATGGGAATAAGTTGGCTGTCCATGACTTGAACTTTGTCTTCCTATTATTTCGGTTGCTTTTGATCCTGTATGGTCAAATGTAGGAACTGATTGTCCACCGGTAGAAATGTGATTGTTTGCAGCTAGATCCAATGACCTCAAAGGGCTAGAATTGCGGCTGCTTGTTCTGCTACCTCCAGAAGGTCCAAACCCAGACTGCCCATAGTCATATTCTGCACTCCCATAACTGCCATGTTTCCAACCTTGACCTGATCCATGTCGGTGTCTTCCACTACTCTGAGACTGGGAATGACTTACTCTAGATCGGTGATGACTGCTATGTAACTGTTTCCTTATGCTGTCCTTGGACTGCCTATGAGTTTCATGTGACTGTGTATGGCTGGACCCATGTCTCTCTATTGTGTCAGTTCCTTCCTGCTTATGGGAAGATGTGTTCTGCCCTTGAACAGAGCCTGAATATGTAGATTTGTCTCCTTTAGGTTCTAGGGAGGATCCAAAATTCTGTGAATGTCTAGAAACTGGTTGCTTCTGAACTGATGTCTGCCCTTGATCTATGACTGATTGTTTAGAACTATATCCTGCCTGCTCAGTGCTTGACTCATACCTTCCAGTTGTATCAGAAACTGTGTGTTTAGGAAAAGACCTGGAATGTACATGGCTAGAAACTGAGTTCCTTGATGACCCTCTTGAGTGCCTTTCATTATCACTAGATTCACTGACATTGGATCCACTTCTTGGAGACCTACTGAATTCAGACCTGATGGCTTGACCACGCTGATTCCCACTATGTCCCCTGGTATCTCCTGACTGGCCATGACTAGTTCCCTGTCTCCCTCTAGCTGTGGATCCTGACTCTCCATGTTGAGATCCAGAGTGGCTATGAGGGGATCCTAAGTGTGTCTGTGGGGCTTCAGAGCGCCTTTCAGTGTCACTGGCCTCACTGACACTAGATCCCCTTC